ACTAATACACTAATCAGAAGAAATGGTGGATCATATGTTCCACTTTTAATTTATTAGATATTAATATATAGACATGAAAACCCTTTTTCGGATAGTTCAGGCTTAAAAATGATTTATTAATCCCGCACTCTTGGCATACCTTGCTTTCAAGGTCGGCAAGTTTCGCTCTGAGGTCTTGCATGTGTTCGCGCATGCGGCGCACTTCTTCGCGTTGGAAGTTGGTCTCCACGCCGCTCCTGGATGTCGCGGACTGTACCTCTTGAACCTGAAAATCTTGACGGTAGCCGCGAAGGTAGGCTCAGGTGAAAGCAACGGTGGATTTCTTTTACCTTCAGTTTGTACCACGATTCCATATCACTTTTGTTCTGTTGCGCGATGATGTCATACTCGTTGCGGATGTCGCGTACTGCCAGGGCAAGCTCGTTCTTGAAGAATTCGCGAGTGTCTGTCGGCTCACGATTCAACAGCGCCTGCAACTCCTTGACTTCCTGCAAATCACCGACCGTAAAATGCTAAATGCCAAGCAGCTACGGTTTTCATATACAACCTGATCGTGAACTCTTCGCAAGAACTCCAATTCTTCCAACAAAGTCTGCACCTGGTTCTGGAAGTCGATGCGGCTGAGGGTCTCCTGGTCCAAGTCCTTTACACAAGCAGAAAAATGCGTTTTGATCATTTGCGAGCAACAAAACTGCTGCTTACCGATCTGGCCTTCTGCAATTCATCCCAAAGGCGGGAATTATCCTTGTTATAACGATTCATCTCGTCGCCCAAAGATTTGAAGCGCTGTCGCAGCAGGTTGATCTCAGATTCAGCATCGACTATCTGTGTGGCCAGTATCTCAATCTGTTCCTTGTCCGATTGACGGAGACGCATAGTTTCGTCATATCTAAAACACGCAAAATCAGCATTTAACGTTCATTACGGGTTTGACAAATTACAGGCAGCCATGAAATATTTTTTGAATATAGCTATAATCTAAAGCGAACTGAAGGTATACCTACAGCGGCTGTCAACCACGCCTTCTAAAATACACTAAGTGACTAAAACCCCCTACGCACATAAGTTCTTGTTGTAATAAGTAATAAAATTCTGATTGGCAGGCTTAAGGCACTGACTTTATAACATGCACACAATGATACAGAAATATGCATTTTCTGCTGAGTTCCTTCAAGCAGATTCATATTCATAAAGAAATCTGACGAAATTTAAGTACTTTCAAGCGTGTAATAAATTAATATAAGTGAAAAAAGAGCTCTTTCCCAATTGCAGTTAAACTTTAAGAAAACATAGCTGAACAATTCAACTTTCAGGTACATGCATATGACTCAGTACTTTACGTAGGTAAATTTAAAGTTGGTTGACTGAAGAGAACGGGTTGCTTACTATGAGATATCTTTGCTAACTGATAGATAAAAACATCAAAGTCAGAAGCTGTGTTCCACATTCAAACAACAACAACGACAGGTATAAGATCAGGATGCAAGGAAACGAAAATAATAACCTACTCATAAAATATAAGTGAAAGGCTAGAGTATTTTGAAAACTTAGAACAACAACGCTTCGGAGATAGCCCACTGAGTTAACATGTTTAACGGAGGATCAAAACCATAACAAATTAAGTTGTGTAATGAAAAAAGAAGGCTTTGGTGGGTCGTTCAATCTTTTGAAGTCTTGGACACATCAGAGCAAAAGTGAATGATGAACTTTAGATATAACTAAACAAGATATCATGGAGAATACTGTGGGTAGGCGGCTCTCTCTGTCGAGAGACGATCTAAGCGGCGAAACAAAACGATTTCCACGGTACAGACCATATCTGAAATGGAAGCAGCTGACAAGTAGCTGTTGCAGGATCGCTTCGCTTGTTTCGCAGACGTAAAATCTGACTCGGACATTCGTTTATGGGGATGTTAATTAATAAAATTAATTTGAATTTGTTCAAAACGAACTGCTTCTTACTACCCATCAATGAACGATCGTGCAATAAGACAACGGTAAACGAACGATCAATGCAATAAGACAACAAACAACATTCCACTCTGCAGCAAGGCCAGATAAATGCAGAAAAACTTGTATTGCGCTACGATTTGAAGCGTAAAATATCCTCCATCACTCATTTTTTTGGAGCGACAAACGGGTTTCCAAGAATTTCTGTTTTCGCACTAGTGACCGACGGCGGCGTGATACTGAAGAAACCGCACAGCGGTTAACCGTAGCATTTGACCGACCACTAAAACTCGACCGTGACAGGAGCCAGCGAGAAAACCGTCACGTGCTAGAACAAAATAGAGTGCTTTCCTCTTTCTCATAGGAAGTACGGTGGAAGCGAAATAAGGAAGTCAATAACCCTCGAAGAATATTAGATTCCCTGAGTATGAAGGTCACGTGACTTTCTTATAGTTCGTATCATGATTCTGATCTGTTAGGCCAGAAACGACAATTCGTTTCATTATCTTATAGTGATGTTTCAAATATTTTCATTTTTAATTATCTGTACACATTTACCTACCTTTGGATCGAAGCACTGAGGCATCGAGAGGGTAGTTACCAGATGCTCAAAGATTTCATGTTTTTAAAACAAATCTGCATAATCTGAGTTTCCGGAGCAGTCGACAATATTAGTTCATAATAAAGCTGAATTCATCTCGCCTCTATCCTCCCGCATAAGGAATTATATTTGATACAATTACCTGCGAGTTTACGTGCGAATC